TTATGGGGACCTAAGATCCTGTGTTCTTATTTTGTAGGTATCTACTAAATCCAAAAAGTCTATGTGGTACCTTGACAGTGGATGTTTAAGACACATGACTGGGGATAAAAAGAAATTTACAAGTTTTATCAAGAAAGAACAAGGATATGTAAATTATGGAGACAACAACAAAGGTAAAATCCTTGGTACCAAAAACATTGATGGTGCAAACACCTTGGAGATAAAGGATGCGCTCCTTGTTGATGGACTAAAGCACAATCTTCTAATTATAAGCCAACTTTGTGATAAAGGTCTCAAGGTAGTTTTTGAAAGTAATTTCTGAACCATACATCTTAAAGATTCCAAGGAAGTTGCATTAAAATGTATTATGCATAACAATATTTATTTGATTAACTTAGATTGTGCATCTAATGTTGATATAACATGCTTAGTTATTAAAGAAGAAAACTCATGGTTATGGCATAAAAGAGCGCCTCATATAAAATATGCACCAATTAAACAAACTAATATCTAAAGACTTAGTTGTTGGATTTCCTAAATTAAAATTTGAAAAAGATAAATTATGTGATGCATGTCAAAAAGGTAAACTAGTAAAATCATCTTTCAAAACTAAGAATATAATTTCCACATCAAAGCCTCTAAAACTTTTACACTTAGATTTATTTGGACCATCTAGAATCAAAAGTTTTGGTGAAAATTATTATGCTTTTGTAATTGTTGATGATTACCCTAGATTTACTTGGACATTTTTCTTAACTGTGAAAAGTGAAGCTTTTAAGGCATTTAGAAAGTTTTCCAAGCAAATTCAAAATGAAAAGGAATTAAAAATTAAGTGTTAAGAAGTGACCATGGTGGAGAATTTCAAAATGAATCTTTTGAAAAGTTTTGTGAAGAGAATGGTATTTTACATAATTTTTCTGCACCTAGAAACCCCCAACAAAATGGTGTAGTTGAAAGGAAAAATAGATCACTAGAGGAACTAGCTAGAACAATGTTGAATGAATATAATGTTCCTAAATATTTTTGGGCTGATGCTGTAAGTACTGCATGGTTTTAAATAGAATGCTCATCAGACCTATCTTGAAAATGACTCCTTATGAGTTATTTAAAGGAAGAAAACCAAATGTAGCTCATTTGAAAATCTTTGGTTGTAAATGTTTTGTATTAAATAATGGTAAAGACAATTTAGGTAAATTTGATTCAAAATCCGATGAGGCTATGTTCTTAGGATATTCACTTTCTAGCAAAGCATACAGGGTATTCAATAGAAGAACTTTGAATACTGAAGAATCTGTGCATGTTACATTTGATGAAATTATAGACCTTGAGGGAAATCCTTTTGAGTGAAGTAAAGAATATGCAGGTGATGATGAGTACATAAGGGCAGTATTAGAAGAAATGTACTTAAATGAAAATGAACCTTCACAACCAATTGAATTGGCAAAAGAGTGGAAATCACCAAGAGGACTTTCAATTGACAATATAATTGGTGACATCTCAAAAGGGTAAGTACTAGAAATATGACCAATTTCTGTATGTCTATAGCTTTTGTTTCACATATTGAACCCAAAAATGTTGAGGAATCACTCAAAGATGATCAATGGTGCATTTCAATGCAAGAAGAACTAAATTAATTTGAAAGAAATCAAGTTTGGGAATTAATTCCAAGAGAAGAATCTCATCAAGTAATTGGAACGAAATGGGTATTTAGAAACAAGCTTGATGAAGATGGGAGCATAACAAAGAATAAAACTAGACTTGTGGCAAAAGGGTATTGTCAAGAGGAAGGTATAAATTATGATGAAACTTATGCTCCTGTTGCCAGGTTAGAGGCTATACGCCTACTTCTTGCATATGCTTCAATGATGAAATTCAAATTGTATCAAATGGTTGTCAAAAGTGCTTTTCTAAATGGTTTTATTAAAGAAGATGTTTATGTACAACAACCTCCGGGTTTTGAAGATTTCAAATACCCTGATCATATTTTTAAATTGAAAAAGACACTTTATGGATTAAAACAAGCTCCTAGATCATGGTATGAAAGTTTAAGCAGTTTCTATTAACTAATGACTTTTCTAGAGGAAAAATTGACTCAACTTTGTTTATTAAGAAAGTAGGTGAACATATTTTGTTAGTTCAAGTATATGTTGATGATATTATTTTTGGATCTACTGATAACTCTTTATGTGAAGGATTTGCTAGTATTATGCAGAATGAATTTGAAATGTCCATGATGGGAGGATTAACCTTCTTCCTTGGACTTCAAATTAAGCAACTAAATGATGACACTTTTGTGTCTCAAACAAAATACTGCAAGGATATTCTCAAGAAATTTGGAATGGACACTGCAAAAGAAGCTAACACACCAATGAGAATGTCCTGCTATTTGGATAAGGACGAATCAGGTTTGAAAATTAATCAATCAATGTATAGAGGTATGATAGACTCTCTATTATACTTAACTGCAAGTAGACTTGATATTATGCATTATGTTTGTATGTGTGCTAAAAGGAACCATAAGATTTGGGTAATGGTATCCTTCTAGAGCTTCACCTAGTTTAATAGGTTTTTCTGATGCTGATTATGAGGCTGTAAAATTGATAGAAAGAGTACTAGTGGAACTTATCATCTATTAGGATCTTCCTTAATTTCCTAGCACTCTAAGAAACAAGTCTGTGTTGCTTTATCCACAACCGAGGACGAATATATAGCGGCTGAAAATTGTTATGCTCAAATTCTTTGGATGAAGCAACAACTAGAAGATTATAGTATTTTTCTTAGTGACATTCCTTTGAAATGTGATAATATAAATGTAATTAATCTTACTAAGAATCCTGTTATGCACTCTAGAACTAAGCATATTGAAATTAGGCATCATTTTTTAAGAAATCATATTTCTAAAGGAAATTGTAAAATTGAATATATAGATACAAAACATCAATTAGTAGACATATTTACCAAACCTCTCCCCAAGGATAGATTCTATGAATTTAGGAGAGACTTAGGAATATTAGAAATAGCCTAAGCTCTGTTTAACTGTAAAATCTTTGCATTTTGTACTGGAATAATTGATTATCTTGGGTAATAATTGATTATCTTGTGTCTAATACATGATAAATGTGTCAAACTCTCTGGAATAATCGATTATTTCAAGTGATAATCGATTATTCATGCTAATATAATCGATTATCCATGCTTTTCTAGAAATTTTTTGGGCAGCTGATGAAGAAATAATTGATTATCTCGAGTTGATAATCGATTATTTCGCGACGTTAGGCATAATCTAGCCGTTGGCAACGATTCTCTTGACCACGAAACTTGTGTTTATAGCCGTTGGAGAAGTCCTCTATATAAAGGAAGACTTAGAAACTCATCAAATCACCTCCAAGCTTCTCTTCTAAGTGTTTTGCATTAATTCCAAGCTCATTCTTGTTTCTTGCCTCTCTCAAACTCTTGCTTTTATCTAAAACTCACTGTGATAATCAATTATCACATGTGGATAATCGATTATCACCTGTGGATAATCGATTATTAGTAATTGATTATTGATAATCGATTATCACTTGTGATAATTGATTATCCCAACTCTCCTGGGTCTCTGAAAGTCTTTAGAATAATCGATTATCACTGTTGATAATCGATTATCCTGTCAAAATTTTGTCTTCTACGAAAATGGCTCTGTGATAATCGATTATCACTCATGATAATCGATTATCTGTGTCAGTTATGATTTTGAATTTCAAATTTCAGACCTATTTTCAAAAACCTTAATTTCTAAACCCTAAAATCTCTATTTAAGGAACTCTCTGGCTCTCTGTAAATGACAACATTTTTCATACTAAAGTTTATAGTTATGATTACTGAGAGAACTTTGAGTAAGGAAGAAAAAGGGGCTTTTGTAACCTAGTGTGGGCTAGGAGCGATAAGAATTACTAAGTGAGTTTCTTGGTGGATTGTGTGTTGTGCCGTCTCAAGGAAAAATTGTTTTCATCCTTTGTGGCTTCAAAGGAGGTGTTCATGTCTTGTGTTTTCATCCCATGTGCATTTTTTTTCTAAGTGTCAGCCTTTCCATGTCGGTTTGGCCAATCAACATGGTTTTTTTACATACTTTCCACGTCAGTTTAGACAATCGACGTTGTAAGTCCATTTTTTACAACAATTTATCATTTTTTAGTATTATGCTTTCCTTTTCAACGTCGTTTATATTAACCGACGTTGTTTTATGGGTATATATAATGTCAGTTATATAGGACCGATGTTAAAAGTCTAAACTTTCAACGTCTCTTTATACAACGTCAATTGTGAAACCGCTGTTGAAAGCCTTCCATAATTGACGTGGAAGGCCTTATCTGTAGCAGTGTAATCACTTTGACTAGTAGAAAGAGAGGGGGATAGTTTATCCCTCCGTCTTTTTGTTAGAACAATTGGTGCCTACTATGTGGTAGAATTGCAAAAAATATTTACTCCATAAGTTCGATTTGTCTCGATCTCATTTGATTCGATCTAATTTATCATGATACGTCTCAATCTAATTTTACCTATATGGATAAAAGGTCAATTATTATGAGTTTGAACTAATTCATAATATAGTATTGATAATTTTGGTATTTAATAGTAATTGATATACTAAACACGAGAATTAAATTTCAATCCTATCTAAACATATCATTTGAAAGTTAAATCATTTTAAATGAAAGGAATTTAAATTTAATGTATATAAAACCTCCTAAAATTACAAAATCCCTTATTCAAACACAATATAAAGTTATTATGTACTTATTTTCTTTAAATTTTATTATACATTAAATTAAATTTATTCAATAAAGTATTAAACCATTTTCGAAACTTGTAAAATTACAACCTTTACTCGCAAAAAAAAAAAAATTAACTTAAAAGTATTTTAATACAATTTAACATGGAATAATCATTAGTTCAAAGCGTATCATCATATGATATGATGACATTATTTACAAGTAAGGAAAAGGAAATTGAAATGAAAGTTATTGGCATTGCATCTTGTGAAAAACTTTATGAGAGAGAATATATGAAAGCAGAGCCTTCAACTTTTTTGAGGCTGGGCCAGGTTTGAGAACACCATAATTCTCACTTTTTAAACCTCGGCACGATCTATTATGCCTTTCACCCTCTGAGCACCACCCTCCAAACGAAAATCCCCCACTACTCCTCTTCAAAAGTTCTCTATCAATTTTATCCAGAAGTGGGTCATTTTTCTTACATTTTCTAGCAAATGGACGGTTGCTCAACACCATTTTCCTGTAATCTTTGAGTCCTAGTGTCCTTGGGTGTTGCTTTGGAGGATTATCCCAAGTAATGTAGTGTAGGTCATTGTTTGCTGTGGTGTTCTTGTAGTCCTTGGAGTTGCAAATAACTGTTTGGAAATATCCTTCTGGAGATGACACAAAGTTTGTGTAGTAGAGAAGGAGGATCCTTGGCAAGTTTTCCCACCCAACAATGCAATACTCAGCAAAAGATCTTGATAATATTGTCCATGCAGAACCTGGATATATTTGTAATATCATCAAGTTAATCTAACTTTGTTAAAATTTTAACAGGAAAGATTATGCATTCATGGTTAGAAATGTTACACAATGTAATCACTTAAAGATTTACATGATTTACTTCCTTATCGTCTTTAGCTTTTGTTTCTTAGTTACTGTACGAATATTTCCTGTAATATTCATTATTTCTAATTTTGATCCTTAACCATATAAACTACAAATACAATTAGTTAGATTAGTATGATCTAGAAATAGAAATCATAGGATAAAAACAAATATTACTATATTTATGGGTATTAATTAACATTTCTAAATAATTTTTATATTAACGTAAACAGGGAGTGATATATATATATATATATATATATATATATATATATATATATATATATATATATATATATATATATATTTTATTAAAATTATTATTAAGTATTTAAAAAAGAAATTATTTTACTCCCTAATTTTATATATTTAAACTCGCTAACAGCTGTTTTATATATCTAAAAATTATTATTAATTTATATTATTTGAAAAATAAATTACCCTACTCTTGGGTCTTAGATCTGCTGCTGAACGTGAATGTGACGATTTCTGTTCTGATATGATAAAAGATTGTCTAATGTATGTATTCCACTAAAATCGAAAAATATTTTTTAAAATTAAGAGCAAAAATTTGAAAATGATTATGACGGAACAAATTTTGCTAAAGTGAAAAATTTATTAGAAATAAAATAATATTATAATATATAATTGAGTATAATTTTTATTTTATTATATTAATTTTATAGTATAAATAAATTTTTATTTTTAAGATGATGTCAAAATTATCTCTAATAATATTGGGAGATGAAAAATCTTACCGAAAGTATAATAAAATATTTTTATTGACACAAGGGAATACGACGAAAATCGCTTTCGAAATAAGAGATTTGATAAAGAAATCATCATAAGAAATTTCACATGATACTTTGTTGTTTATATATTTGGGTATTTAAGATTTTGTTTGATCTTATTTTATTTTTAATTTTAAAACTATTTTAGAAATTAATTTTAAAAATTATTTGATAATGTCATTTGCAAAAATTATTTTTAGATGAAAATAAATATAAAAAACACAAAATTAGGAAAATAATTAAAAATAATTTCAATAATTTTACAATTATAAAAATAGGAGATTTAATATAATTATTAATAAAAATAGAAAATATATTTAATTAATTTTAGTTTTTAAAAATTTTAAAAATATAAAAACTATATTAATAACACAATTATCAAACAAGTTTTTTAATTTTAAAATTATGTTTAAAAAACAATAAATTTTTATCAAGAACTAAAGAAATCCTGTTATAATTTTTTTGTGTGTTTTTATTTAAGCTTCTCAATAGTCACAATAACAATAGAATTAAATTTACTAATGGAAAAAGTTCTAAAGATCACTACTACAGAAAACACTTACTACGACAGCATTCAACGTCGGTTTTTATGAAGACCGACGTTGTACAAGACACGGTGGCAAACTTGTAATTAAGAAACAATATTTAACGTCGGTTATAAAAAATCCGACGTAGTAATGGACAAATAACGTCGATTAGATGACAGACGACGTTAAATGTTTAAATTTAACGTCGGTTATGTATAACCGACGTTGAAATCCCAAAATCAACGTCGGTTTCATGATTTACCCGACGTCGAAAGCATTATCCACGTCGGGTTTTTTAATAACCGACGTTGAATGTCCTATGATACCTAGACTCCAAGGCGAGAAGTTGTTCTTCTGCTTCTTCTTCGTGCCCACATACCTCCCTCCTTCAGTCCTCACTGCCGTGCACTGCTACCTCAGTTCGCTGTGGTCTGCTGCCTCAGTCCTCACTGCCGTGCTCTGCCCCCTCGCCGCCCTTTCGCCGCGCTCTTACGCGGCGTACCCCCGTTGTTGTCGTGTGTGTGGTAGCCCTCGTTTCCCTAAGGAAACTCCTTCTCATCAGGTTAGATTAAGTTGTATGGATGATTTACAACATGCATTTAACATAAATATGGATTATTTAGAGCATTTCCTGCGTATGAACATTAGAAAGATGATGGATGATTTTGTATGGTTTGATTTGATATAGGTTCTTTTAGGCTTTTGGAAGTTTGTTTTCGGTTTCGAAGCGGTATATACTCTTTCATGTAAATGTACACGTTTTATTTTCCCAATCTTGATGTGGGAAATGAGATGTACACGTTTTTTTTGTATTGTTTTGCTAAACCTTTTCTAATAAACCTTGAATATCTAGGCAAGCCTTTTTGTGTAGTTAGATGGATCGAACTTGGGTCAATGCAAGTCGCATGTCAGAAGAGTATGAGAATGGAGTTGACTCCTTTTTGAAATTTGCCGAACAAAATGCTCCCAAAATGAATGGAAAAATCTATTGCCCATGCGTTAATTGTGTAAATGGCAGAGTACAAGAGATGGACACAACGCGGGAACATCTTATTTGCGATGGGATGATGAAGAATTACACCATATGGACATGGCACGGTGAAGTGGTTGATATTCCAACAAGTATCACAAACTATTGAGGATGATGTAACCTCGCGAAGATCGAATAGAGGACATGCTTTGTGATGTGGGTCAAGAGAGTTTTCTTGAAGCACATGCATCTATATATGATACATTGAGGACCAGATTCGGAGACACCTTTGTATCCCGGATGTACAACTTTCACACGGTTGTCATCCGTGTTAAGATTGGTCAATCTAAAAGCAAAATTTGGTTGGAGTGATACAAGTTTTAATGAATTACTCCAACTTTTGAAGGAGATGCTCCCAGACAATTACACCTTGCCGGACCGTATGTATGAAGCAAAGAAGATACTATGTCCGATGGGTTTAGAATATAGGAAGATACATGCTTGCCCTAATGATTGTGTGTTATACAGGAAAGAATTCTCATCTTTAGACCAATGTCCAACATGTTGTGTATCACGTTACAAAGCGAAGGATGGTGATGATTGTAGTCAGGAGAGTGGTAAAAAACGTCCTCCAGCAAAAGTTTTATGGTATCTTCCAATAATTCCAAGATTTAGGCGGTTGTACGCTCACGAAGATGCTGAAAATTTAATTTGGCATTCAAAGAGAAAAACATGTGATGGGCAAATGCGACATCCATCTGACTCTCCCCAATGGAAGAATTTTGACCGTCTATTTCCAAGTTTTGGTAGTGATGCAAGAAACCTTAGACTTGGATTAGCAACAGATGGGATGAATCCTTTTGGAAATTTAAGTAGTAACCATAGTTCATGGCCCGTTTTATTGATGATTTACAATCTTCCACCATGGTTATGCATGAAGCGCAAATATGTCATGTTGTGTATGATGATTTCAGGTCCAAGACATCCAGGAAATGACATAGATGTGTATTTGAGTCCTTTGATAGAAGACTTAACACTATTATGGGAGGAAGGAGTAGATGCATTTGATGGGTATCAGCAGCAGAAGTTCAAGTTGCATGCAATGTTATTTTGTACCATTAATGACTTCCCCGCCTATGGAAACTTGAGTGGGTATAGTGTGAAGGGGCATTATGCTTGTCCTATTTGTGAAGAAGAGACCAGTTATATACAATTAAAACATGGAAAGAAGACAGTTTATAACAGGCACAGAAAATTTCTCCCGCATGACCATCCATACCGTAGACTGAAGAAAGCTTTTAATGGCATACAGGAGGATGAAATTGCCAGAGAACCATTGACTGGTTTAGAAGTTTACGATCGAGTGAAGAACATAAGCATTACATTTGGAAAGACCCAAAAGAGGTCTTCTGACAAGAACATGTGGAAGAAGAGATCAATTTTCTTTTATCTTCCATATTGGAGTCATTTAGAAGTACGACATTGTATTGATGTTATGCATGTGGAGAAGAATGTATGTGATAGTCTCATTGGCACATTGTTAAACATTCAAGGAAAGTCAAAGGATGGGATCAAAGCACGCCAAGACCTTTGTGAGATGGGAATACGTCCTGAATTACATCCAAGGCCTGAAGGCAATAGAACATATCTACCACCAGCATGTCACACCTTGTCAAAGAAGGAGAAGCGTAGTTTATGTCATTGTCTTGCAAGTATTAAAGTGCCACAAGGATACTCTTCAAATATTAAGAGTCTTGTATCCATGAAAGATCTGAAGTTAATTGGATTAAAGTCCCATGATTGTCACGTTTTGATGCAACAGTTGTTACCCGTGGCTATACGTAACATATTGCCTAAGAATGTTAGACATGCCATTATGCGACTATGTTTTTTCTTCAATTCTATTTGTGCCAAGGTTATCGATGAAAAATCACTAGATGAGTTGGAAAATGAGGCTACGGTTGTGCTATGTCAATTGGAGATGTATTTTCCTCCATCATTCTTTGATATAATGATTCACTTAATAGTTCATGTTGTGAGGGAGATACGAATTTGTGGGCCGGTTTATTTGAGGTGGATGTACCCAATTGAGCGATACATGAAGATCTTCAAAGGGTATTCTAAAAATCCATACAGACCTGAAGCTTCAATTGTTGAGCGGTATATTGCAGAAGAAGCCATAGAATTTTGTTCAGATTAATTGGCAAGAGTCGTACCTGTGGGTGTACCTAGAAATCGTCATGATGATAGGCTAAATGGTAAGGGAACTCGTGGTATTAGAATTCAAACAAAAGATCATGTAGAGTTGACCACCGCCCACTTGTATATTTTGAACAATACAGAAGAGGTTATTCCTTACATAGATGCGCATAAAGCAATGTTAAAGGACCTAAACCCCAAAATGGGTGAAAGGTGGTTGATGAAAGAGCATAACAACAACTTTATCAATTGGTTTCAAAGAAAAATATTTTCAAGTGACAATGCCTCTGATACACTGAAATGGCTAGCACATGGGCCTAGATATAATGTTATAACTTGGCAAGGGTATGACATTAACAAATACTCATTCTATACGAAGGCACAAGATGACAAAAGTATAGTCCAGAATAGTGGAGTATCTATTGAGGC